ATTAATTTCCCTTTGGCATAAACTGATTTTGATGAGCCCAGTCCCTGGCGATTCATCACAGACCTCTCGGGGAGCACTGCAGGGAATGGCGGGTGGCGGCATGACTTATGGGCCTCGCAGCCCCAGACGCCCAGCTGCTTCGGATGGCTCCGGACACCTCCAGCCCCCCTAAATCAGCTGTGACAGAGCGACCTGGAGAGCTGCCCAACCCGTCCTCCAGCTCGACTGGTGCCCCTGGCAGGCGCCTCCCAGGTCAGGGGGCACAGGCTGCGCGGAAGTGGGTGACTTCATCCAGGCTGACTCACCCCCAGCCAGTCACTGGGGACAGACTGCAAGACAGAAGCGGCAGCAACCCTCTCCAGCTGGGAGCTTTGGGGAGGAGGAATCCCCACCCTCCCTCTGTATCCCCAGGGCTTCCCCAAACCAGACTGTGCTCCTACCCTACCTCATACCATCATCCCAGAACCCACACTGATGTCCTGCAAATAGTGCTGGCCCTTGGCTCAGTACCAGCCTGAAGCGGTCTGGGGGCCAGCCCCAATGCCCTTTTTACCAGCCAGGTAAAATGGCCCAACCTTGTAACCTCTGAGATTCAGTTTCTTCATCTGCAAAATGGGCGTGGTGACCCCTGCTCCACCTCCTGCTCAGAGGTATTGGGCGACTCTCACTGATGTGAGAGGGTCTTGCAAACAGGAAAGTTCCATGTGGAAGGGGGGTGGGAAGCTGGATCAGTAGGCACCCGTGCCGCAGGGCAGGGCGAGACTAGACCTCTTATCCTGGCCTGGGGTGCCCTGAGTCGAGGCCCTGCCCTCTCCCTCCCTCCTCCCACTCCCCCCTCTGCCACATTAGCATACTTAAGCTCTTCAGATAGGTTGTTCTCCTCCCTCCTTCAGGCCTCTGTGGTTGTAGGCTTCTCCCAGCCTAGAACTCTTCCCCGCCATCCTTTCTTCTTTGCGTGGTTAAGTCCTACTGAACTCTCAGTCATCAGCTTAAACATTACTTCCTCTGAGAAACTTTTCCTAGCCCCTCAGTTTGACACTAGGGGCCCCGTGTCTGCGTCCCCACAATCTAGCCACTCCCCTACATTATCACAGTCATCTCAGTCTGCCTCCCGGATATTGCCCTGGTTCTCCCCTGCATCCTTCGGGCCCAGGCCAGTGCCTGGCTCATGGTAGGTGCTCACTAATATTGGTTCATTTGAACTGAACTCCTGTGCCTACGCATATTGGGTAGCAGCAGCTGCCTGAAGCACTGTGTTAAGAAAGATTCTGAGGGGCCAGCCCTTTGGCCGAGAGGTTAAGTTTGCATGCTCCGCTTCAGTGGCCTGGGGTTTTGCCAGTTCATATCCTGGACACGGACATGGCACTGCTCGTCAGGCCACGCTGAGGCGGCATCCCACATGCCACACTAGAAGGACCCACAACTAAAATATACAACTACGTACTGGGGGTATTTGGGGAGAAAAAGAAGAAAAAAAGACGATTGGCAACAGCTGTTAGCTCAGGTGCCAATCTTTAAAAAAAGAAAGAAAGAAAGATTCTAGGGGGCCGCCCAGTGGCACAGTGGTTAAGTGTGCACGTTCCGCTTGGGCGGCCCGGGTTCGCCGGTTCAGATCCCGGGTGCAGACATGGCACTGCTTGGCAATCCATGCTGTGGTAGGCGTCCCACATATAAAGTAGAGGAAGATGGGCATGGATGTTAGCTCAGGGCCAGTCTTCCTCAGCAAAAAGAGGAGGATTGGCAGTAGTTAGCTCAGGGCTAATCTTCCTGAAGAAAAACAAAACAAAAGAAAGATTCTGAGGCTGCACAAACACACATAAGCATCACACCTGCCACAAAGCAAGGGTTCAACACATGTCAACTGTTAACATTGGAGTTGCTATTGGGAGTTAGTCCTTGGGAATCTGCACCCTCTCCTTACCTGTACCTACCTTCAGTCAGAGTTCTAGCAACCCGGGGTAGGGAAGGGAACCAGAGAGGGCTTACGTTCTGAAAAGACCTGAAGACACTTACCCGCCTCCAGCAGAAATAGCCACGTGGAATCAGAAGACCTTCCGACTTGCTTAGGAGACTGACTTCAACACTCCGAGTCTCAGCACCCTTTCCTGTCAAACAGGAATAACTCCCTGATGCCGACTCACAGGGTGAGGCCCAAATTCAAAAGTGTCGGGCCCGGCACTTGGTTCACCTTGACAAAAGAGACACATCATGACCATCATGGACACACCGCAGCCACTGCCACCAAGGCCAGGGTAGGGCTCAGAGGGTGGGGAGCCCAGAACCAGGGCCATTACCAACCATAGCAGAGTCACACCTCTAGGCCCTACCTTGAGGCCCCTATCTTCACCCAATCACAGGGCCTGCTGTGAAACCTAAGAGCAGAGCCAAACCTCCACTCCCTCCTCTCTGGCTCTGTGACCTTGGGCAATTCCACCTCTCTGAACCTCTTTCTTCACTTGCAAAATAGCAGTGATAATTGTAGCTGCCTCCCAGAGTTCTTAGAAGGATTAAATGAAATCATTGGGTAAAGAATGCACTTAGCATTCAGCTTGAGGCCCAGTAAGTGCTCAGTAAATATTACCCATTATCATCATCATCATCATCATCATCATCATGACCCTAAACGCTGTAGCTATGCATGGGATAAGATGCCCCTGTTAATCCTGGTCCTCCTGTGCAATAGTAACTCCCGGAATGTTCACAGCAAACTAGAATATCATCCCCACTTCCTGGATGGGCAAAATGAGGCTCAGAAAAGCTAGGATTTTTCAGACTGAAAATTCCCTGAAGGCAGAGGCCATGCCTCCCAAGTCTGGGCTCCCCTTAGGATTGAGGCTGTGCCTCCCGCATCAGACTGGGGGTTGTCTCCTTTGTTGGGCCAGGAGCCAGGTCTCTTTTTCAGCCTCTGCTCTCCAGCCAAGTTCAGAGGAGCAGGAGGGGGTGCGGTCCAGCCCCCTGCCTCCTTGCAGCACAAGAAGAGGTTCAGGCTGTAGACGAAGGTCAGCACGGGGCCTGCCTGGTCCTAGCTGCCCCAGCCGATGCAGGGATGCCTCGTGACTGCCCCCCCCCCCCCCCCCGCCCCCAACACTTGCTCCAGCTTCCCGCCTGACTGGGCTGAGCACTTCAAAGCCAGGAGCCTCTGAAATGAGGCCGCAGCATCCGAGATGGCAGCTGGTGGGGGGAGTCAGGCAGCCCCTTGGCCCCCTGTGTGTATCTCCAGGTACTCCTGTCGTGTCGACTTGTTGGGCAGCGTTGGACACCAGGTCCTGGGGGATGGCTTTGGGTGCCCAATTCATGGCCTAAGGAGAATTAAAGCTACTAGCATGCCAGCGAGCCAAGGCTGCAAAGGACGAACTCCTTCATGCAAGCAGGCACTAGAGGCCCATGTGCTGGTGAAAGATGGGGAGCCATGGAGAGTGACCACTAGGACTGACACACACACCCACACGCACGCACGCTCTGCACTACATAACAGGATGATACCGTGTGCTCTGGCATTCCAGACCCGGGGTCAAATCCTGCTTACCCTACTTCCTAGATGTGTGACCTTGGATAGCATTATAAGTTGAACTGTGTCTCCCGCCACTCCCCCCTGCCCCCGGCCAAAATTCATGTGCTGACATCCTTAACCCTCAGTATCTCAGAATGTGACCTTACTTGGATACACGGCCTTTACAGGGAGAATCAAGTTAAAATGAGGTCATTGGGGTGGGCCCTAATTCAATATAACTGGTGTTCTTGTAAGAAGGGGAAATTTGGACACAGACACACATAGAGGGACGATGACGTGAAGAGACCCAAGGAGAAGACGGTCATCTGCAAATGAAGGAGAGAGGCCTGGAACAGAGCCTTCCCTCACAGCCCTCAAAAGGAGGCTGTCAATACCTTGATTTTGGACTTCTCCTCTCCAAAACTGTGAGATAGTAAATTTCCATTGTTTAAGCTGCCCAGTCTGCAGTGCTTTGTTATGGCAGCCCTAGGAAACTGACACAGGTAGCCACCGTTTCTCGGAGCCTCAGTTCCCATAGGCCTAAGCAGAAAATATAATAGCACTTGCCTTGTAGGTTGCTATGAGGCTTAGATGAGATGGTACCTGTAAAGACAGCATTTAGCACAGGATTAGACACATGGCATGTACTCAGTAAATGCTATTTAAATGCTTTACTACTGTGGTTATTATTCACTCATACATTCCAGTATACACTTATACATTTACTCATCTATTCCAGATAATTCTGTACTGTACACCTTCTGGGCCCAGGCACCAGGCCCTGAGGTTGAACAAATCTCTAACCTCTGAGTACTTGGCAATGAACAAAAGTAGCCCTATCCTTGTGGGAAACAGACAATCCACATACACATAAATCAGCTGATGGGAGAGCAAATGCCTAGGGGTCTGCCCACGTGTGCACATGTGTGTATGAGTGTTAATATATGCATATGTGTGTACATAGGTGTTAACGTGTGCTTGGGTGCATCAGGAGATCTATGTGCCCATGCATGTTAGTGTCTGTGCATCTGGACACTCAAGTGCATACCTGTGTGTTCATGCATAGGTATACACATGTGTGGTGTTCTGGTGTGTATGCATGCATGTGCCTGTGTACATGAATGTACATGTAGGGGCATGAGAACATATGGGCGGGTGTGAGTCTGGATGAGAGAGTTGAGCAAGAGTAGATGTGTGGGCAAGTGTATATGAGAACAGTAGGGCCCAAAGCTGGTACCCTCTGCTGCCTACAGCCCAAGAAGGAGCTCTGAGAGGCCATCTCAGCCACCCGCCAGCCTCAGGTAAACACACATCCCTTCCCCAGGTCAGACTTCCTTTTTTACTTCTTTGGCGAGGAATATTGTCCCTGGGCTAACATCTGTGCCAATTTTTCTCTATTTTGTATGTAGGACACCACCACAGCATGGCTTGATGAGCAGTGTATAGGTCTATGCCCAGGATCCGAACTTGCGAACCCTGCTGCCAAAGTGGAGCACGTGCACTTAACCACTACACCACCAGGCTGGCCCCCCAGGTCAGATTTGAATGCTCTTGTGCTCAGGAATCCACCCTAGGACCCTCCTCAGTGTGTAACCCTGACTTTCAGGAAGTCCTTCCAGCATTCTGACCACAATTCCTGGGTGACACTTGAGAAACCAGCAGTCCCAAAGCCCCTGAATGAAACAGATATCAGCCCTACATTCCAGGAACATGTAGTACTACACCCTCATTCAGCTCCCCCCATCCTGCCTTTCCAAAGGAGGAAGGTGGGATCCCACATTCCCAAAGGTCTCTCCCATTTGGGTATCCTATTCCTATCCTATTTCTGCTTTCAGAATGCCCAACATCAACACTTCCTGTCCCACCACCATCCCTCTCCACATCTGCAAGCTCACAAGGTCAAGTGGTTTTCCCTGCACCAAGGTTTGAGAATTCCTGGGGGTGCTGAGATCCCTTGGCCAGAAGGAAGCTAGGGGAAAGTGGAAATCACCTCCCCTCAAGCCCTGCTGGGGGGACTTGAGGTCACAAAGCTGGGGATGTTCTGAGGCCTGGCTACCACTCCCTCCTCATCTAAGGGGCAATACTAACAGGGAGAAGATACGTGAATTCCAGAGGCGCTCCCCATCATGAGGGTGGAGAGGAGGAAGAAGTGAGTTCTGCCCCCAATCATCTCCCCCTGCCATTGCTGAGCCAGACAGGCACAAGGGTGTGAATAGGTCTCCGCCTCCCCAAAAAAAACCTTAGTGGGGTGGGAGCAACTCGCATAGCTGAGGGAGGGGGGACCTGGGGGCTGGAGAGGCAGGAAGGTGGAAACCCGCTCAGACAAAGGCTGACCCCAGCCAGGCTGACTGGCCAGCTAGCCCACCCCCACCCCCCTGCGGCAGGCAGCTTGGCAGGGCTGAGCGCCAGCTCCTCGATCCAAACCGAGTTCCCACCGAGCGTGCTTAATGCACCGGCGGTGACATTTCTGCCTTCAGAGGCAAAAACAGGAACCCGGCCATTTTGATGAAGGGCGCCCAAAGTGCAGACGGTAGATGGAGGACCAGGATCCGACTCCTGCACCCCCCACCCTAACCGCCCACTCTCCCCTCTGCCCAGTGCCCAAGCCAGAGGGTCACAAAACTGGGGTGGCCAAACAGGGAAGATGCTACAGAAACCCCCACCTTCTTGTATAGGTGGGGAAACTGAGGCCACAGCGCTGAAACTAGCTAGATCTGGAGAATGTTAAAGGAGGGACTGAGAAAAGCACCGGGGCGGATGGCCTGAAGAAAGTCCAGGTGGGAGCGCTTGTTTGAGGAGCCAGAGAGCTGAACCGAGCAGGCCGCAAGGACAGGTTTCAAAAGAGTTTGCACACCTGGCCCCCAACCGTGGCGCGCCCTCATGAGGGCGCTCGCGGTGCCTCTAATCCTCCAAGCAGCGAGAGGGTTAACCTTCCTCGCGGTACTTGCCGCAGTAAGTGGAAAGGAAAGAAGTGTCAACTCTGTTCTCACCACAGCGGGGCTGTCGGATGGCACCTCCCCCCGCCCCGCGCACCCCGCCCGGCCTGCTCCCCCGCCCTCCCCTCGGAGCGCGCGCGCATACACCTCCCACCGCTTTGCCCAAATTATTTTCGATCCCGGGAGACTCCGGATGCCAGACGCGCTCCGCGGCGGCGGCGGCGGCGGCCGCGCCTGATTCATTGCGCCAAAGCTGCAGATGCGACCTCCCGCCTGCGCCCTGTGCCCCGGCCTGCGTGCGCGCCTGGAGAGACTGGGGGTGTGGCAATTTGTAGGCGCTACCCCCCTACACAAGAGGCGGGCCCTGGCCCCCTGGGGCCAGGTCCCCAGTCCCCAGCTCCGCGGGCTGCGCTAATTAGCTTCCTCGGGGGGCGCCACGCGGCGTGAGGGGCGGCAATTTCCCGGCTGGGCTGCGGGGGAAGCTCTCCCACCGCCTGGGAAGGTGAAATGGGAAACTCGATTCAAAGAGAGCTTTCCTCCCCCCTCCCGCCAAGCGCCGTAGAAAACGGGTTTGAAATTCCTCCTTTTTTTTTTTATTTATAGTGCACCGTCTCCATGGAAACCGCGGAGGAGGTCACGGTAGCTGGGCCCCCGCGCGTCACCCCGCGCCTCGCCGGCTGCAGGCGCCCGGATTGCGGCCTCCCAGGCGCCGCGGCCCGCGTGGACTCCACTCCAAGTTCCCCGCCCCCGCTCTACTCCGCCCGCGGCTCAGGCCATGTGACTCTGCCGGGTCCAAACCCAGAATGGCGCACCTGGGCACCAGTGCGCTAGGCTGTGCCTCTGTCCCCGGGCTCTGGCACGCGGGAATGCGCCAAGAAACACGTGCCCAGCTCCAAGTCGGGAACATGTGTGGCCAGACGCCGCCGAGGGGCTCAATGCACTTGCGAATGCCCTGGAAGATCGACCTATATTGGCGCACAACTCCAGAGCTCTTGCTAAAACGAGACCGCCCGTGGTTAACGCCGGCTCTGGAGTCAGCCGAATCCCGCCTAGGTAACTTAGCTATGTGACTTCAAGCAAGTCACGACCTCTCTGCGCCTCAGCTTGCACATCAGCAAAGCGGAATTAGTGTGAGGCCTCAGACAAAGTACGTCAAACGCCTATCACTGTGTTTGGCACGTGGTTCTGAAAAATGGTAGCTGTGGTTGGGGTTATTTTTTCCCAGCTGGGAAAGCCAAAGCCCAGAAGGCTTCGCTCAAGAGTGCGGTCAGCCTGAAGGCTGGGAGTTACACCTTGGGAGCTCCCCAGCACCTCAGCCTAGACGCAAAGGCGGGAGGTGAGGGCACGCGTGCCAGCGGCCTAGGGCCTGGGGCGCGGCGGACGGGGTTGGAGCCTCCCGAGCTAGCCACATCCGCACCCGGAACCCTGGAAAGGGGGCTCCCCGCGGTCTCTCCACCCCCGCCCTCACCCCCGCGCCAGCACCATTAGCAACAGGCCAGCCTGCCCTCCCTCCCAGGGCTGAGGCCGCACCTGCCCCACCGGATGGCCGCCCCGGGGCCAGGCCGTGCCCCCCACCGCGCACACTTCCTCCGCCCGCCCCCCCCCAGCGCCCCGTCGAGTGCGCAGGGGGAGGGGAGCGGGCCGCCCCCGCCCCGCCAGCTTCCCACAGCCTGAGCTGCCCGGAGCCGGGGAGGCAGGAAGTCTCAGAGCCGGGGCGTGGAGGCGGGGTAGGGGCAGGAAGTTGGGGGTGACTCTCCCAGAGACCCCAGACGGGGCCCCGGCGTGGGAGCGGGGTGGGCGGGCGCGTAGGGATTAAGGGTGCCCCCTCCTCTGTAGCTTTAGGCCATGTGACCCAGGCCGGAGCGCCCCGCTGGGTGAGGGCTAAGGCCGCTACCTCTGGCGACCCCCAGCAGCGCGCACAAGGAGGGAGGGGCCGCCTTTGTCTACTTTGCCGCAGAGGCAGCCCCCCACCACCCCTCCCCCCGCGCCCCGCCGGGCCCTGCACAGCCCGGGTTTTCCATCCGGCCCGGCTCGGCTCGGCAGCTGTCAGGGGACCGAGCTGACCTTCGCGAGCAGGGAGTTTCAATTAGCCGCAGATCAGATAAGCGGGCGGGCCCGTCTCTCCGGGCACCGCGGGGGCGCAGCCCCGCCCCCGCCACGCCGCGCCAAACGCGCTCCAGATGGGAACAAAGATGAGGACGCAGCTCCACCTGCCTCCCCGGGGAGGGGGGAAGAGGAGGCCCCGCCGGGAGGAGCTTCCCACCGGAGGAAAGGGTTGCGCGCCCTCCCCTGCCCGTCTAGGATCTCAGGCCCGGGCAGGGGTCTAGTCAAGACGATCTTTGCGGCTCTGCTTGCCTCCTGCACTGCAGAGAGGTGCCTGCCGCACTGACCTCATCCCCAGGCGGGCATCGTGCCCTCCCTCCTCCGGAAAGAACCTTTTACCATCTTTGATCTCATCCAGAGCTCTCCCTAAGAGGCTGAGAAGAGGCAGAGCCCAACAGAAAAAGGAAACTGAGGTAGAGAGGGCCTAGGACTTCCTGATCCAGGTCACACCAACTACAACATTCTTTCAGATGTTTATTGAGTGCCTACTAAGTGCCAGGCACTATTTAGACTATGGGGACACCAGAAAACAAAAATAGTATCCTTCCCAGCCTCACAGAACTTACATTCTAATTCAATGAGACAGACTTTAACCAAGTAAACAAATACATAGTTGAACAAGAGCATTTCTGAGCGTCTGAAGAGCCTTGAAGATATTAAAATAGGTCATGTGAGACTGATTTCAGGGAGGGGACCATGTTAGCTATGGTAGTCAGAGAGGACCTCACTGAGGCCTGAAAGGCCAGGAGGAGCCAGCCAAGCAAAGGAGAGCGGGTGGAGCAGGCCACTGTGGGCCTGACCTCAGGCCCAAAGGGGAAAGCAGACCAGGGGAGGAGGTCAGGGTTTATGCAGAGTGCATTGGGAGCCTTTGGTGGGTTCCAGGCTGGGAGTGACATGGTCTGACTTAAATTTTTAAAAGATCCCTCTGGCTACTGTGTAGATGGAAGGAAGGCAAAGCTGTAAGCAAGGAGACCAGGGAGGAGGGGGAGAGGATAGGGCCGGAGGGGGGAGAGGGGATGGAGGAGGGGTTATTGGATTAGTGATATATTTGGCACGTGAAGTGATTGTGGGGATGAGGTAGAGCACAGGAAGCTTGGTGAGTGTGCAAGTCAAGATTTGAACCTAGGTCAGCCTTTGGGAGTGTGGAGGAGCTGCTTGGAGGTGAAGAGCAAAGCTATGGAGCAAGAATGCCAGGGTTCAAATCCCCCTAGTGATAATCACCAACTGAGTGACCTGGGGCAAGCATCTCTATCAGTTTCCTCAAGCGTTTAAAAAGGAGAAGAATGATAATGGAAATTGTCATTGTAAGGTTTGAATATGATATAACGTGAAAAGTGTGTATCACAGAGTCTAGTAACTAGTAGGTGCTCAATAAATGTTGACTATTATTATAGGTGTTGTTACTCCACTCCCCACCCCCGGACCACACACACACATACCTACCTCTCTACCAGAACCATCCCCTGGCTTCCCAACCCACGTCTGGCCTTGTTTTCATTTGCTGAGGGCAGAAGCCCCTCTTCCTCCTATTACCCCGACCCTACACACCTTGGTTTGGAGGGCAGTCAACAGGGTGGGGATCATTGGTAAGAGACCCACCCAGTCTTTGTTCACTAAACTGACTGCTGGAATCCCTCGTCATCCCAGGACCCCCACTAACCATCCTGGGGTAACCCTCTGAGCTCCTCAGTGGTCTCCATATGGGCTTGCCCTCCTGGACTGCCAGAGGAGTTGAGAGCCTTCAGTTATCATTCCTTGAATCAGTTGAGTGACCCTCCAGGCAGGGCTGTGTGGGGACAGAGAAAAGCAAACCCAGGCCCTGCCCCCAGGCAAATGCCTGGACAACTCAATTGCTGTTGGTTATGGCATTTTGTGCTCTGGGAGCTCAAAGCAGGACAGGAGAGGGGGGTGGGGGGGCTCCCTTGGGAAAGCAGTTACTACAATCACAACTCCCATTTTATGGAGCCTTTACCCAGACAGGTCCTGGTCCATACACAGCACTGAGTCCTTACAATGACCCAACGAGGTCAATACTATTACTGTTCTTAATTTATGAGTGAATAAACAGAAGCTTCCAGAGGTGAAGTGCTTTGCCCAAGACCACACAGCGATTAGATGGTGGAGCTGGGAATAAACCCAGGCAGGAACAGGAGAACTTAACCATTCTGCTATCTGGTCTCATATGCTGTTAAATGGAAAGATGTCTCTGAGAGGCCTTCAACCAAAGTCCTGTGGAGATGCGTCTTGCCCTTACTTCCCTCAACTTCCCTGTGTGCCTGAGTCTTCATCTGAATCCTCAGGAGCCCAGCCTGGCATCAGGTACACAGTAGGTACTCAAGTACTGCCTGAATGCTGCATCTTCTTGATAAAGCAGTGATGATGCCTGCCTTCACCTCCACACCTCCCCGTGGGTTCTGGGCCCCCTACAGCCCATTTCAGAGTCTGTCAGAGCTGTTGACTAGAAAAGAAAAGTTCTAGTTTGCATAATATTTGCATCTGCTTTGCATGTTGTTCACATAGTGTCAAAATGCACAGGGGCCTGGCCTGCCCTGGTATCCTATTCCCCCTCTTGATATCCTCCTCCCACTTTGCTGACCCAGAACAGGGGCTGGGGGTTTTGGAGAATACCCATTTAGGGTCCACCTAAGCTTGTCTACTTCCAATGTTGTGGGGGTGGAGAAAGGGAGATTCCTGCCTGCCTTTCTGGGGATGGAGTGTGGTGGGGCAGGGCAGGGGAGCCAGCAGCAAACATACACACACACACACACACACACACACACACACACACACACACACACACACACGGCAGTGCAGCAGGAAACATCTGGGGTCTGGGTGCCTGCCACCCCATAACAGAGGTTCAGGAGAAAGGAAAGGAGGAGGTGTTGCTGTTACTGCTGTGCCTGCTGCTGATGGCTGGGCAGCCCCAGAGTAGGATCCTCACACCCCAGCCTCTCCTCACACAGGGCCAGTCTGCCTCTCCTACAGCTGACCTCACACCTACACACCCTTCAGATATGGCTGCTTGGGCTGGAGGGAGGGGAGGGGAGAGACAGGAAGAAATAGAGATGCTAGTAACGGGATGGTAGCAAGGACTAGAAAGAAGGAAACTATGGTTCTGTGATGCTGGGGGAAGAGGGGCAGAGTGTGCACAGCCTGGCCTCAGCCTGGACCTTTAACCAGGTCAGGGCCTCCTAAGAGACCCTGACATGGGGACGTGAGAGGAGGGTGCTGCTGTGATTGGCTGAGGAGGTGTGACCCACATGAGTTACCAGAGGCCAATAGCCTGTCCCAGTTGGACCCAGACATCATTATAATGAGTGTCTTGGGGTCTGATTGGCCATGAGGTGTCAGCAGTTGAAGACTGTGATTTGCAGAGGCATCTTGCAGCCCACCCATGCCCTCGTCTGACTCCAGGTTGAGACTCCAGGTTTGGAGGCACCCAGACACTCAGTAGGAACAAGAGACCCAGGAACTCAGAATGGTGGGCTCACCTGGGGTTCTTGGATGGATGGGAGGCAGCAGGATACTCACTGAGTGCCTTTGTGCCAACCATGTGATGGACACTGAGAGTGACACAGGGTACTGACAGCCTGGCAGAGATCCTTAGACCTACTGACAACCATTGCACAGAGCCCTTCCTAGAGGAGGCAGCACAGGGGCTGGGCTTCAAAAGATGAGTAGAAAGAGTGACAAGACATGTGACTGAAGGCACAGTGGGCAGGGCCTGCTTCAGAGTGTCAGGGACAGAAAGAGGAGAGGAGAAAGGAAGGGGAGACAAGGGCTGGATTGTGCCAGGCCTTGAATGCTAGGCCCAGGAGCCAGCTCTCTGACAGGCAGGAGGGGGCCTGAAGGGTAGGTGCAGACTGGAGGAAGAGGCTTTGAGAGCCCCAGCCTGCCTCCCTCCCTCACATCTCACACCTTCCCCCTGCCCAGGGGCAGCGAAGGCATCAGGCCTTGCGAAGGTTCCCCATCCACCCACCTCCCTGCACGGCACATTGGGTGCTGCCTCTGCAATGGACTGAATGTTTACGTCCCCCAAATTCATATGTTGAAATCCTGACCTCCAGTGTGATGGTATTAGGAGGTGGGGTCTTTGGGAGGTGTTTAGGTCATGACGGTGAAGGCTTCATGAATGGGATTAGTGCCCTTATGAAAGGGACCCTACAGAGCCCTCTTGCCCTCCTTCCCCCATGTGAGGACACAGCAAGAAGTCCTTCTAGGAGCCAGCCTGGTGGCGCAGCAGTTAAGCGCACATGTTCTGCTTCGGCGGCCCGGGGTTTGCCGGTTCGGATCCCGGGTGTGGACATGACACCACTTGGCAAGCCATGCTGTGGTAGGCGTCCCACATATAAAGTAGAGGAAGATGGGCACAGATGTTAGCTCAGGGCCAGCCTTCCTCAGCAAACAGAGGAGGCTTGGCAGCAGATGTTAGCTCAAGGTTAATCTTCTTCTTCAAAAAAAAAGAAGGCCTTCTATGAACCAGGAAGTGGGTCTCCACTGGACACTGAATCTGCCAGCACCTTGATCTTGGACTTCCCAGTCTTCAGAACTGTGAGGAGAGAACTATTGTTTAAGCCACTCAGTGTATGGTATTTTTGTTATAGCAGCCCGAATGGACTAAGATGCCTCTGTAACCAGGAGAGGCTCCCTGGGGTGCCCTCAGCTGAGTTCCCAGAGGAACCTCCTCCCTTTGCATGCCCCCTATGCTCAGCTGAGCATCACAGTCATCCCTGCAGCCCTCACACTTTGCAGGTCTCACAGTCCTGGGGTAATTCCAGGTACCATAACTTAGAGTCACAGAGTCTCCATGAGCCTCAGCTTCCTCCCTCACATGGAGATAATACCAACTTTCTAAGATTCTTTTGAGAATTAAGTTGTATGAAGTACTTAACAGAATGCCTGAATTTCATTTATTTAATCATTCTCTATTTATTGAGTGTCTTCCATGTGCCAGGCACTGTTTTAGGCACTGGGGTTTCAACAGTAAATCACAGACAGGATCTCCTGTCTCAAGGGTTTCCATTCTAGGGAGGGAGAATGAATGTAAACCACAAATATGAAAATGAAGGAATTTCAGATTATGACAAATGCAGGGAAAGTTTAAATAGGATAATGTAACAGGGTGACATAACAGCATAACTGGAGGTGGGGAAGGGTGGTTTTGGATATGGTAGTCAGGGACCTTATCTCCGAGGTGTCATTTGAGCTGAGGCCTGAATAATGAGTTGTCATCAACCATGCTGAAAGGCAGAGGAAGGGTGTTCCAAGGAGCAGAAACAGCAAGTGCAAAGGCCCTGAGGCAGGAAGAGCTTGCTCTGTGGGGAGGCTGGTGTGGCTAGAGCAGAGGGAGCAGGGAGGGTAGAGGCATGGGTACTGGGGGTCCTCAAGGACCTTGGTAGGAGCCTGGCTTTAATTCCAAGGGCCATATAAAACCATTGGAGGTTTTCAGCAGGCGTGCTGGGAACTGATTTACACAGTAATTGCTCAATAAAGGCTTACTGTTGTCATTATGAATAATAATAATATGAAGCCCAGAGAGGAATAGCAATATGCCCAAGGTCACAGAGTCCCCATTCCACGGCCCCTTCCTCCTCTGATTGGCCTTCCCCCTCCCCTAAGGAGCCCTGTGGATCAGCCCCAAGCCTGGCGGGAAGGAGGTGAGGGCAGCCTCCCTTCCCTCATTCCCGCTCCTTCCCTCTGGCCATTTCCCGTGCTCCCGGCGCCTGCGCCCCAATTAGCCAGCGAGGCTGACGGCCTCGGCTTCGAATGACAGACACCTCCTGTCACCCCCTGACGGGCGAGGAGATTAACTCTGAGCGGCGCAGGCTCCAAGGGACGACAGGGAGGGGAGGAAGGGGGAGGGGATGATCAGGACTCCCCCCACCAAGGGCCCCCAGTGCCTTGGAAGGAAGTGGGGCTGGAGGGGGCCCCTGCCCTCAGAGAGGAGTGCTAGCAGGCTGGGGAGGACCACCCCCACCCTCCTGATTGGCCACTCCAGCTGGGGACCCTGCCCCAACTTCCCCCCTCAGCTGCTCTGAGGGCAGGGACTGAGCCTGCCTGTGGGTGCTACACAGATGAACCCTCAGTTCTAGGCACAGAGTGGGTACCCAGTAAACATTCATGGACCGACTGTGCTAAGTACTTTTTTTCATGCAGATTTATTCAATTCTCATTTTAAAGAACAGGAAACTGAGGCTCAGAGGTGGAGGGACTGGTTCAAAGATCACACAGACGGGCTAGAATTTGAACGGAGGCTGCCTGATGCCAAAGCCAAGCTTCTAATCACTGTACTATATCACTCCTCTCTTTAGGAGGGGACTCAGCTCCATCTAGGAATTTACAATCCACTTTGGGGCAATGAGACACAAACCCTGGAAAAGGAAAT